TGGGCACAAGACAAAAAATCTAAGCTAGAAAAGCATTTTTTGCAGTGTACTCCTTGTGATGGATGATTAAGGCTAAATTCACACTACATGACTTTAAATGTCGGCAGATCGCTGTGCTGTTCAGACTACATGACTTGATTGTCTTTAAGTCATTATGGTGTTCACACTACGTGACTCTATGTAAATGATCCGCAACCGGGAGTTACACACTACACAATCTGACAACAACTCTGTCACCCAACGACTCTACAAACCACGTTTTGTCACGAAAACACACGCAACGGGAATGACGGGAATGACGCGAAACAACACGTGAAAAAGGAGTTATTTGAAAATGGATGTCGGGAAGAATCAAGCTGTTTAAGCTGTTTGCTCGATGAAAAAGTTTGCTCCACTTATTGTGTCCAAACTTTCTTTAAGCCATGTTGCTGCTGTTACCGGAGTTTACACACTACACAAGCTGACAACAACTCTGTCACCCAACGACTCTACAAACCACGTTTTGTCATGAAAACACACGTGAGAATTGGAACGGGAATGATGCGAAACAACACATGAAACAGGAGTTGTTTATTTGAAAATGGATGTCGGGAAGAAATTAGCGCTGCAAGCTGTTTGCTCGATGAAAAAGTTTGCTCCAAACTTTTCTTTAATGCTGCTTGCTGCTGTTGTTTTTCTTCCGGAGACCTCAACACATGCCTTGCTCTCTCATTGGCTGTAACAACACCTGCGGAATTTGCAAACGCGTCTCCAGAGATGAAACGGAGCTGCTCGTGCGTGAGCAAATAGGTAGCCTAATTCTGATACATGCGATGACTATCCATTATGACACGTAGGCATTTTTATATTTATGCAGCCTACTCAATAATAATATTTTACATTGTAATGCTTGAATTTTTAATATTTGGCATGTCTGTGTGCTGCTGTGCGTCCCTGTGTTTGTAATAAGCAGAGTGTACGCACGCTGTGAAGCCGCCTACACTAATGTGCTCTTTAAATAACAAAAAAAAACTACTGCGCCATTGACTTGTAAGAATCCACCCGCCAGCCCAAAAAGCGGAATCCAGCGGCCTGGTCGAAGGTTTAATGCGTATTCGGTCTTTTACTTGCGCTTCTGAATTTATCAGGATTTAGTTCAATTTTTAGTCTAGCTCCGAGTTCAATCTGACTCCAATTTCACGTGATCAGTTTTTAATTAGAAATATTGCCTAAATTTAATGATCACAAATATTAATTTAGATATTTGATTATTCTGGACTCAATACTTTCAGTTATCCGTTCACTGGGGACCTAATGTCTCTTTTAAGTCTCATGTTGGCCTTACGTGGATCTTACGATCACAAACTCGCCAGTCTGACGTTAGTCAGAGGGTGTAGGTAGACTAATACCTATTTTGCCTGCCGCCTACTGCTTGCTTATGACAAAAAGTGTAATTCACTTAGTCCTTTCCCGTACAACTTGATAACATCAGTGATAGACAGAAATCAGAAGGTCTCCGATGACGTGCCTACTGCTCTAACTTGTATCATGCCAATTACATAATCAATTCAAAGATATCAAATCAATACAAGACATCAAATTCTCAGAGATAAATCTAAGTACAAAGGATGCATACCTGACTTCAGCAAAATACATAGTATAGAGTGTGTGGACACATTCCATACTACGGGCTCTCTGACTACAGAATCACAAAGACTGATTTGCAACGATCTCGTCTAGTAAATTCCTAATGGTGTTGTTGGCAAGTCTTTCCTCAAAGTATAGCTGTTCTTCAGGTGTGAGTTTGGCTAGTTTACACACTTCAGTGTAAGATCATTGTTCTTGACACAAAGGGCATCTAAGCTCAGTTTTACCCTGCAATTCATCATTATGAGAAACAGTCTGTTTTATCAAAACATTTCAATATATGCTCTATAGCTTTCAAAAGATGTAAATCTGTTTAGGATGTGATGACTAATCTACACTCACCTGATCCAGCTGTACTATGCAGTAGTCTGTCAGTGTCTGTGGTCCAGTGATGTGACCACAGGATAATTTAGCTCTTAAAACATCTGGATCATCATCATAAGGATCTGATGGGGAAATGACATGATAATTCATTTTTCCATTCATATACCCTAAAAGTCAACTTGCACATATTAGTCTTATTGTAAAGCTACATAAAGGTAAACCAGGAACAAAGAAATAAAGGAAGTTATATTTATATTTCTTTCTTAGAATTACACAGTATCTGCATAATTGAATGTTAAAAACTTATCTGAGATTAAACATCTCTTTTACAGGCTTGTCCTGGCCAGGATAGCCAGAAAACATATACAATTAAGATATGTTTTCAGTGTAAAAATCTTTTGTGAGACTGCTGCGTCACTCGTAAATCCGCCTCTCAACATGAAAGCTCATGCAATAAGAACAAGCAATGCATAAC